TGCCAATGAAACCATACTTTTTAAGTAATAACGAAATATTTGCATTGAAATGTTTTTATTACAAGTAATAACATGTAGTCATTATGTACCACCACATAATCACTACATATTTTAAAATAAAGTCCCTCGCCGCGTCTGTCTGTCATTTTATTTGCGATACACTCAAAACTACTAAACGGATTTTAATAGTATTAGATTGTGCTCTAGACTATTTGATTGATTCAGTGATTTGGAGGCAATCAAAAACTGGTCTGAGCGGTTCGGGGTAAGTATTAACCCCACCAAGTATCAGTCAATAACCGTAGGTAGCCCCAGAATGTTAACAGAGTTTGACACGTCAAAACTGCTGGCAATCGTCTACAACGAATTAAATTTACCGATCAGCCCATTTGTCAAAGAGCTTGGTTTATGGATTGATTCCAGCCTCACCTAGCAACCACATATTTTAAATGTAAGTCAGAAAGTCACTGGAACCTTGCGATCACTGTATCGAAATTCGTCTTCATTGTAGCGACATATAGTTAATGATTTCGCTTTTTTTAACCTGTGTTATTATACCACAATCGGGTGTTTTGTTCCTAATTTTTTATTCTTATCCTGTCTTAAATGGACCGTTGATGTTTTTCCTTCATGGCATATGAGAGAATGAGAGACACGTGTCGATTTTCAGTCCCACTAGCATATAATTGTGTCATAAGAGCATCTGACTCTTATCTCGCCGACACATTTAATTAGAACATGCGCAGCGTCGTGGGATAATTAATATAATATTAAAGACGCAATTGTTTATCTTGCCACTATTTTAACCACTATTTTTAGATTGTCATTGAACCAAATTCGGTCAAATAACGCTTCAACTATATAGATAGATGTTATTTTTTGTGTTCATACAAAGATAAGCTCGATGTAACAAAGTATAGTATAAAGTATCATTAATATGTACATCGTAAGTATCTAACTTTTAAACTTTCGCGTTCCATGATAATTAATATTATTTAACGGGAATTAACGCGATCTCTTATTTGAGTCAGCCTGTGACCACGGCCGGTGCAACCTGGTCGAAACGTCAGGCAAACCAGAGGTATGTAATACCCTAAATAAGAGATCGCGTTAATTCCCGTTAAATAATATTAATTATCGTAAGTATCGTTGGGGGCCGACTAAGAGAGTAAACTACTCAGGATAACAGCACTGCAAAGAGAAGGAAATCTCAAAACAAACCCTATAACAACACGTCTGGCCAGCGTGGTATAGTAGATCCAATCCTCGTTTCTAAGGAGAGGCCTATGTCTAGCAGTGGACTATGAAAGGCTGCTGATGATAGGGGACCACTCACGGTGAGTGACTGCAGCCGCCTGAGGACACCTGCGACAAGTGCGTTGTCACCTTTTGAGTGCGCCCATTGCGTTGACCGCCAATAAAATCGGCAATAGGCATTTGTTACTCAGTAAAACTTACAAAAGACAATCTTTGTAAACACAATAAATAAGATTACTTACGAGACGATTTTATTTGGAGAATATTCACCTATTCTATTTAAGAAGAGACTACATTTACTAGAACTGTGTGTGTTCATTTAACCTCAGTTGCCACTGTGTGCATAAAATATGAAACCCGTTTCAATTTCGAGACTACATCGGTGACTCATGCGCTGGTTTTACGGCTAGTTTGCTGCACTTCTGTACTGAGTTGTGGATTCGCATAGTAAATTATATTTCACTTGTATCAACCCGCATTATTTATGGTCAGGATTTTATAATTATTTACTGCATTTATTTACTTACGTAATTATTATTATGTAACCATTCAGTTTATCTGGGATATTATACATTTATTGTTAAAGGGTAAATGTCAATGTTATGACGTCTTATTTATGACATTTTGTCCTAATCTAAGTACACGTCAAGTAATTATGTATAAAATAAAAAATCTTTTAGAATATTAGATATTTTTTTGTTAATTTTTATTTAGTTTTTCTTTCTTTAAATGTATGTTTTAATTAAAAAAGTAATTATTGAAAAAAAAACTCGACTACATGACAATTGTGACTTGAGACTGCGATGGTGTTCTTTTTAATTTTTTGCTTCTTTTTGAGAATCTTTCGTTCCAAAATACATTTATTTTAAATAAAGTTTTCTTTGAACACCTACATGTCCTTAAAAAGACGCCAAAACGCCCATTTCAGTTTTTGTGATTTTGATATACTTAGTGTCACTTAAGACGTTACGAGTAGAAAGCGTGCTAAAGGGATATATATACATACTTACACTCGAAAACATAATCTTCCCTTTTGAGCAGTCGGGTAATAACACGGAGACCTTGGTCAGCGCTATCTTTATCAAAACTAAGTATAGCTTGTGTTATTACTTGCACACGGAAAAACATACTTGTTATTTTGTAAATTCATACATTTTATGTGTATATAGAAACGGACAGATGCAAATATACACCGGGACCCATAGAATTTTGTTATTGTTTAGACATTTATGAGTGGTATTAGTTGAGAGTAGATGTTTATATTTGGTTTCGATGATTCTTATTTATAACGTTACCAATAAAGTCATAGGCTGTTTTCAATTAAGTTCTAGTATTTAAAATATCATAAAGTAGCCCTAAGGTTACGTTGTATTGTATTAAAATCGATGTATAATGGAACCGTTTACCCTAAGTAGGTACATAACTTTAACACAGAATATCTCCAATTTAAAAGAATATTTAATAGGGTTTACAGCCAACCAATATACACGGTGATTTTGAAAGCGTTTTGGAAACGAAATATTTGAATTTGGAATCATCTATAGTACCAATAAAAATGATTAAATCAATTGTAATGTTGTCTAAAAAAAAGTTTCAGTTTTAATATTCATTTTTACTCGATCGACTTGGAAAGTAGTAATGGACTGATCGTTCATTCATTATCTTATATGAATGAAACACGTCCGTGGGCGTTTCGGCGGCCGCTGCGCACCGCCGACGCTAACAGCAGCTGACAAAACTATACCTATAGGCGCGAGCTAGCGAGTACTTACGTAGATAGACTCCAATTTGTCCTTCATACTTTACACGGGCTTAGGACCGTCAGAAATACCTATTTTATTTAAACTTCTTTTCGATTATTAACCACGATTGTTCTTTTCACAACAAATCAATTTATCAACGGACTGTAGGTATAAATATTTCAGGCGTATTTAAAAAATCGGAGCTATCTACAGAATAATTAACTTACATACCTATTTACACTATTTACAGTTCTCTGTATCGAAGGAACTGCTCAAAATGGAGTCCGCTGCATTCAATACACAAACGTCCACGTTTAATGCAATTGTTTTTTAATTTTCTTAATGTGTCTCTATCACTTTTCACTTTAAAGCGTCCACTATCGCAATGCGTAAATTATCACGGCTTTCATATTCCCGTGTATTAACAAGTCTTTTTATTTCCGACCATAAGAAAAAATCCAGGGGCGTTAAGTCCGATCACTAAGCTCATTGTCCAGGTATGCACGCACTACACTCCGGCGAATAATAATTAAAACGTCCTTGACCTTGCGCATGAGTAGGCGCACGAAATTGTCCGTGGTCGAGAAGACGTTGGGTTGCAGCCAAGATGGTAGGTGTGGAGGGAATTTGAGGGCTTTCAATTCCACGTAGCCGTAGTGCATTTAAATGCTCCGGCTTGGGAATACAAACGCCGAGCCTCTTCCAAGTTGTAGTTGGCAGTAGCGTACAGCTGTACCATTGCCAAGAAGTATTCCACGTTTGAAAATTCGTACTGTCGACTCATTTTAGCGCTAATCAATGCAGCGTGCCGTCACGATGTTATGGTATTACTGACCGACTGACGATGACAGGTGAGCCCCGCGCATGCGCCTACGGGGCAGACGTCATTGGTTGGACGACTCCGGCGCAACTCGGTAGCTTTGTTTTTATTGGCGAATACGATTTGATGTGACTCGATATTAAAACGCATAGTATTTCTATTCGTAGTATTTACCTACGTGTGATTGAATAGCCTACTACTACTGGTTCTGACTTTTTCTCTGTAAACGATATGAATATCGACTTTGATGATAAAAAAAAATATATTTTATTAAATTAACGTTATATATAGCTTCTGTTACTGATAAATAACTCAAAATTTTCTTTTCCAAAACGCTTTCAAAATCACCGTGTATGTGCAGTTTTCAGTAGGGATACATACACTTCAAATAAATAGCGTTTGACCAGTATAATTAACCAGTGTCACAATTATATTGTATTCAAATTATTTTACGAAACTATACTAAATACCTGTTAATTGAGTGAGTGAACTCCACAGCTATTAAGTGTGTAAACAATTAATAGCTGTGCAGTTAGTGCTTAATACCGCCGTACCTAACTCAGTAGGTACCTTGGACTGGTCCTCTGTGACACGTGAGCAACGCCTAATGTATTCTAGTCCGAGTTTATTTCACATCACCTTGCTTTCGGTCGCCCTTGAAAGCGAGTTGGTGTGAAATAAGCTAGAACTAGACCCGGATATGAGAAAATACTCGTATAATAAGAGCTAACTAACCTATGACGTGTCATTGATCATAGTGAGGAAATATATACAGGGACTAAAACATTTTCATCGACAGTAAATCTTGTTGCTGAGGAATAAATAGTGAACTGAATGAAAAAATCTACGTCTAAGAATCTAAGCGAACGATGCGGCGGGGAACTCAATCTAATAAACATTAGGATTAAATTTTGTTCTTCAAACAGCGTATATGACTGCTGTGCTGAGGTCTCGGGTTCATTTCCAGGTCGGACCAAATGTTTATATGATTTGCAAATATTTGGATTTTTTCTATGTATAATGTGTATGTTTTTACAAAAAAAAGTAAATACGTATTCTATCAGACAAACTAGCTTTCATAGTACAAGCTCTGCTTAGTTTGAAACAAGTAGGCGTTGTATGTTAGATGTCCGAAATATTAATACTATTATATAAATCATGAGAAACATTACAATACTCACTCATTCCAGCCATAAAAAATTGATTGAAGTAGCCCCCATCCCTGAGCCGCGCCACCCATCGCACCGGAAGTGTGTCGAACATCTTGCGTACGCGCCGCTGCGTCGCTTCCGGTTATGCTCGAGTGCGCGTCTCAGTGACGCATGGCATGCACCAGGTGGCGTCTAAAATCCAAAAAGCATTTTATGTAAATTTTATTGTTCCCACAGAAGTATAAAAACAAATAGGCATGTGTAAAAGTTATGCGGAGATCTACAGCTTTCCTGTAACTATTAGTAGACAATTGCCATTGCCCGTATTTCTCACTTTGAAAATGACGAACTTCTAAACAACCGTTCATCCCTTATTTTAAGGGTGACATTTCCAAGAATCCTTTCTTAGTGGGTGTTTAGAACATAAAAAGCACCAGCTGAAAAAAGTAGCCTTGGCGGTTTAGGCTCAGCGTTGATAAATCAATCGGCCAGTCAGGGCAAGAAATTTAAATACCCATATTTATAGCTTTCAAGATATTAAGTAGATAATTACGTACGTAGAACTACTAGTTACAAAGGATGGATCGTTTCACACTTGTTTATATGTGTAACTAGCTGACCCGGCAAACGTTGCTTTGCCTAAAAAACAAATTAGAGATGGGTCACCCTTACCATTTAGGGGTATGAAAAATAGATGTTGGCCGATTCTCAGACCTACTCGATGTGCACTCAAAATTTCATGAGAATCGGTCAAGCCGTTTCGTAGGAGTACGGGAACGAACATTGTGACACGAGAATTTTATGTATAAGACAAGTAAATTTAAAGCACTTTTCAACACAAACAAAGAGCGCTGATGGTACATAACTTAATTTATTCTAATGTAAAAAAATAATACTATTGCAGATTCATTCTTATATCTAGGACTTTTAACAAATCACCATGAAAGAGCCATACTACGCATATGGACCGCTTGACACCAAGTGGCCTTACAAAAACTGGTTTCCAGTAATATTTTCGTCGCATTGCAACGAGTGCTGAAATGGGGTTTGGACGCCGGTAACTTCATTACCGGAGTCCAAACCTCATCCCCCAAATTCTGGAAGCCACTTTAAGGTCGGGAACATACGTCTATCTCTGGAGTTACAGGTGCCTATGAGCAGCTGTAGTTACTTACCATCAGGTGACTTCCTATACGATTAAAAAAAAACAGTGGCACTCCGGGAGTGAAAACTTATATATACTTATATACACAGGTGTTGGTAACGGTAACAGAGTCGCGAGTTCACTGGTTTTTTCTATAAAATACGTTCTTTTGTTTATTGTTCAAATATGCGTAACGCGCCTAAAGAAGTTTTCACTTGAAAAATGTTATTATTAAAGAAACCAGTTAAAAGAACTAGAAAATTATTTTGATATTTTTAATCTATAAATTCCATCATTATCAATAATAGCCTTTATTAATTAGCATCTTCTTGGAACCGTGGCCCACTATACCACGCTGTCCAGACGAGTTGGTATAGGGTTTGTGTCAAGATTTTCTTCTCTTTGCAGTTCTTCCTCCTTCGTAAATATGACAATTGTTTCCGAACTTCTTTATCAAGAATTGTTGTAATATATCATACAGCTATTGCTATCTTCGATATTAAATGTGTTAACAGTAACAATGACACTGTTGCCACTTAAACAGTAAGTTAAAAATTTAATTCATGGTTTCCTCAATATATTTTGTGGCTTTAATTGCTGTTTAATTGGTAATGAGTACGAGTAAGCACTTGGTTCCTGTTGATAATTATCGTATTCAAAAAGGTATAGTTAAAATATTTTAGGAACGGATCTTTATAGCATCTATCTATCTAACTATATTTATCTTTAAATATAGATGTTTACTCTTCAAGTTTCGTACAAACACTGAACTGTTGGTTAGTCGTGGATATGATAATCCAAGACAAATAATTGTGTGATGAGCACGAACATTCGTTATGTGCCTGGGTGCAATTTATGTATAACAGGCATCTGGTATCTACGTATTCTGGTAAACACCAGAATACATAGGTACTATGCTTAGTATCTGGTTAGCAGCAGTCTGGTTACTATAGTATATGCTAAAACCTACCGACCTAATATGGGGTCAGATGGCTATAGGTGAGATGTATGCAATATTTATTATTATTATTGTGTATATACTAATTTAATTTCGTCCAGAATCATATATTTCATATTCAGTTACATATCGTAAAGTTTAACTAATTGAAACTCTAAACTATAATCTAAACTCTTTTGTCTTAGTTATACAGAAATTCTTTTATATATTGGCCGTATGGAATAATCCATGAACATGGTCAATATTTTATTTGTAATTAAAAACAGCACATACCTGCATTGGACAAGACAACAAGATATACAGCCAGGTATTCCTGGCTGTATATCTTAATAAAATATTGACCATGTTCATGGATTATTCCATACGGCCTTAGCCATAGCCTTTAATAAAAGGCTTAGGCTCGCTTATCAAGGCTGTGAATCACGTCAGAGGCGCTCATTTTACGGAGGAGGTTGCAATTCTAGATTGTAGCAAAGCTTTATACTCATTTTTAGAGTTCCATTCCTTAAAAGGGAAATATAAACTCTTATAAGATCACTTTGTTGTCGGACTGCTTATGAGTCAGTCAGGACCCATTTTCTTAAGAATGCATAGAAGTATCCAATGACGGAGGCCTCGTGAAGCTGTGACAAATATCAAGCTGGTAAGCCAGTTTGAAATTTGTGTCAGCTTCATAGGGCCAGCACTCAACCCTATTCAAAACACGGCCATTTCCGACCATTATATCTAGTTTAAACTATTTACAGGAAAATCAAAACTGAGGTATTTTCATTAACCATACATTCATGAAATTTCTCAGTAAGCAAAGTGCCACAACAGAAATAAATAAAAAAATACTCATGTCGTGAATTTGTTACTGTATCTGTCGTGAATTTGTACTGTAATAAGTGAAGTTTTTGCTTTAAAACTTACTTAAGTCGTATATTGCTGTACTTGTATACCCCTAAACACCAATATACGACCGTCAACCGGACATATTTTTTCTGACATTTTTTTTGTTATTCAGACAAGTTATATTTTTTCTTTACCTAGAAATCTTTTTTAAACTATTACTAATGTAGAAAACAAAAAACAAATCGTCGAATTTATCCAGCTTTTCTCGAGATTACTGCTTAGCAACAGGTTGGCAATTTAAGAACGGCAAAGTTAATAATTACCAATCAACAGGATTTAACACGTGGTCAACGACGCAGTCCGCTTGTGACCACGGTCAGTGCCACCTGATCGCAACTTCCAAAGATATGTAATAAATAACTATTAATTACGTTAATGCCTGTTGATTATTACTAATTTAAAAGTTAGTAAGGCAAAATTCAGTTTGTCTTTCAATAGTCCTACACCGACGAACTATCTCCATGAAGTTTGTACAGAACCCTTAGTGTATGGGTCAACCTTACACTTGTCCGGTATTTCTGGTACACGCTGACGTTAATAAATTTTTATAATAATTATTCAAGTTTGTTTATAAGATAACGACAGTGGAAGGTTGTAAATATGTCTCAAGGATTTATATTTAAGGTAGGTAGCAGCTGGTTTATAATTAAATCCTATGTAAAGACAGTTTATGTCTTTACATAGGATAAAAGAAGACGTTTTTGTTCTTCTATGCCTAGATCTTTGAAATTACGCAACGGATTTTAATGTGGTTTTCACCAACAGCGAGCGATTTTTTTTTTCTTTTTTAAAAGAGAGATATAGATTTTCAAGAGAGATATAGATTAAAATGCCCTTTACAGCATTTCATTAAAATAAATATTTTAGGAGATATCAGAGTTTTAAAATGCGGAGGCAATGTAATACGCCCGTCCCGGGTGGTAGCGACCCGCAAAACCGGAGCGGGTCTATAAATATTGTATATTATAAAAATAATATAGTAGTATAGTATAGTCTTATCATAATAATAGTATAATTAAATACTCCATACTGACACCACAGATACATAGTAGTATTAGTAGCATCTACATTGGACCCGTGTAAAATAACATATAAGTGTTTATTAACAACTCAAGTAGCTGTTGATAATCTTAGTGCAAAATGTGTCTAGTTTAACCTATTTTATCTATAATATGTGTGTACATATTTTAGGTAAATTTTATTTTCATCATCATTTAAAATTTGGAAAAAATTGCAATAACGTTCGCTTTTACTGCTGATATGACATCATGATAAAAGACCAACACAATCGTGTAGAGTTTACAATAATTTACGACCGGAAATTTCAAATGTAAAATTGAAATAAATTTAATGCCTCGCACCATTTGAATAATATTAGATTAAGTATTTTATGATACACCTGTGTGGTGACGGATTAAGAATACAGAGTGTTACCACCCCTATTCATACCTTGGGTGTTGTAAGGTTACCCTATACCAACCAGTCTGCCAAAACCTCCTTTCTAAGAAGAGACCTATGTCCAGCAGAGGACTAATTAAGGCTGTTGACGATTTAGCATAAAAATACTTAAAGAAAATACTAATAAGATATCATTGTTTACTAGTCTATTTGTTTATTAATAAGAAACTGCACTACTAATAAATGACTGATCGGATAGCGTAGTGGTTTAAGCGGTCGCCACGCCCCTTACTACTACGCTGAGTGCTATGGGCTGTGGGTCCGATCTCCACATCGGACGACACTGGGTCTGGGTGTCTGGGTGTCTTTGTGTCCGTTTCATGTATGTTTGTAAAGTCCCCCGCAATACAGGATATACTTATTCCTAATGTGGGAGCTGTCTTTTAAAAAGAAACAACGTTTTGATATACTATTAAACGAAATATATCATGTAATGTGTACCAGCGTACGTGCGTGAGGCGTGGAAAGATGATCAATCGTTTAAGACACGTTATCTAAATAATTTACTCTGTTGTTGTTATTAACATGAAGGTCAGATAATTAGACTATACTGTAGGAAGTACTGAGTAAGTGTAGTTTTTCAGATATCACCCAGTAACACGCTATAGTGTTGTTTTACGATTATCACTTAAAAATTAAGTATTGTGATGACTTTATTCTAAGATTCAATAGTCATATGTAATTGTAGAAACACCACGTGTTTCTTCTAAATATTATCAATTAACTAAATGCTGGTAA